ATAGATAGATAGATAGATAGATAGATAGATAGATAGATAGATAGATAGATAGATAGATAGATAGACAGACAGACACACAGACACACAGACAGCAGCAGTAGTACTAATAGAAAAAATGATGGAAAGCACCAAAATCTATTAGAAAAGAACATTTAGAAATTTTTAGAAAATAAAACATAAAATTTTAAACCTTAATTGCTAATCAAGTAAGATATTGAATTTTGCTTTTTAATGACCAAATTAAGAAAAAAAAGTGGCCATGGTTGTATATTATTGCAGAACAGGGTGTTTTGGAAAATATTTTGGATATCTTATATATAGAAGAAAGATATTTGTATTCTTTAGCCTAGGGCTGTCTCCTCTAGAAATCTGAGAAGGAAATGAGCAAGTCATTGATTTATATTTTATATATAGCAGTTTGAAACAGTTTGACATACCCTAAATGTCCACTAAGTATCTCAGTGGTAGAGCACTCACCTAGCATGCCCTTGATTACAGTCCTAGTACAAGCAGGAAAAAGAAAAGGAAAAACATTCTAAAAGACAAGGCAGGAAATACCAATAATTGTGTATATAAACTTTGGAATAGAAGACAGTAATTAAAATGACTTTAAAATTTTTTTGAGGCAGGCTTTAATATATGTATCCCAGACTGCCTTGAACTTTGTGTATAACCAAGGATGACCTTGAACTCCTGAGCTTCCTATTCTGCCATTAAAGTGCTGGGATTATAGGTGTGAGCCACCACACCCAGCTAAAGATAATATTCTTAAATTAAGTTTTAGGAATGAAAAATATTAAGTGAGATAAAATGAGGATACTAAACTACACATATAATTAACTGAATGTTAAAAGGATACATAGAAAAGGGGCTGGAGAGATGGCTCAGTGGTCAGAGCACTGGCTGTTACTGCAGAGGAACTGGGTTCCATTCCCAGCACCTACATGGTAGCTCACAACCATCTAATTCTAGGGACTCCATCACCTTCATCTGGCCTCTGGGTACTGCATGGGTATTGTATCCAGACATACATGTGGGTGAAATACTCATGCAGATAAATATTTTTTAAATCCTTAAAATACACACAGAAAAGAGATATATAAATATAGTCAAATGTTACTTTATAGTAGTCATTTCTTATTGATTGACCTAATTAAGGATTTTAAAAACTATTTTTATTGGTTTTCTCAGTAGGAAGATAGTTTTTGATAATATTAGTTTAAAATGAGATATTTTTGTACATTGAATTTAAAGTTTTAACATTTATTATTGTTGAGGATGTAGTAAAACAATCAGTTAATCAACTTAAATAACTACTGGGATTATCAGCTGCTTGTAATCAGAATAAAAATATTTTTAAAGAACTAAACTAATTTTACTTTCATTTAGACCACTAAAAAAAAAAACCCTATGATTTGGGGGGGGGGCTGATGTTATTGTAAATAGTGTAAGGTGTTTGTCTATCATGCAACCTTTAGCAATACACATTAGACGCACACATACACAATTTAAAAACTAACAACAAAAGTGTGACTCTCCTAGAATACCGTTTAGTTCAGATGTTAGGAAGAAACCAGTAAGAATGGAGTAAAAGGGCTGAGAAGAGGTCCTTTCCCTGAAGGACAGAGGTAATGGAATCAATTCAACTTTCACCGCTTCCCTGCAGTTACTCCTCTGTGTTTCTACTTCCTGTGGCACCTCCCAGCCTTTGCACACATTTGCTCTCTCTGGAGCCCGGTGCAGTGCTGTGTGCCGGCTGAGAGCAGTGGCGGGAGCTTCATCACCACTGCCATCAGCAGTTGAGAACCTTGTCCGTCCCCGGCTAGTCGGTGAGGAACACACGTTCTGGTGTCTCTGACAAGGAAGGTTATTTATTCAGGCTTTATCTGAATACTTACAACAGCTGTAAAATCACCTTTTAACAGCTGTATTGTTTCCAGACAGACACAAGTATTTTAATATATTTTTCTTTTACTATTTCAGTGAATTCATTCTATGGCCTTGGCTTGTTGAATTGTCTTTTCACTATTAGCTTTAAAATACTGGCTATTGATTTGAAAATATGTAGGTCATACCATCAGCAGTGAAATTATAAACGTTAATCTTACACATCTTGAGTAGTGCTTTTCCAGCCATGAATGCTTCACAGGAAACACAGGGCCACTTTTCAGTTAGGACTCGAAGCCTGGGAGTAAATATAATACAAGGAGAGAAAAGGACCAATTTTAGGCTTTTATGTAACTGTTACATAAATTCATGAATATGAAACCTCTAATAATTGAAAAGTACATGAACCAACTTCATAAAAGAACAAAAGCATATTGGAAGATATCAAAACTTACCAGTATTTAAAAGAAAGTAAATTAAAATTTCATTGTTTTTCACTCATGTTAAGAGTGACAATGCCCTTTGCTGTGAGTAAAACTTTAGTATGAAAATGGATACATCCCTATATTATCAAGAATATAAACCATTGAAAAGACTTTGACATTATGTATCAAGAACTTCAAATTTTTCCTGGTCTTTTGACCTATACTTCTACTTCTAGGGGAGGATCTATGCTAAGAGGTAGACCTAAATTTCTAAGAAGCTCTTTTCATGGCAGTTTGCTATAATGAGTATCTTGAACACAGATTCTGTAAAGTTCCTTAAATTGCATGCAAAATTCTGTGCATGATTTTGTCCCTTGAAGATCCTAGGCTCTAGAGTTATGAGATTTTTTTTTTTATCTTTGAAGTATTAAGAACTATTGCTTTTATCAGTAACTGTTGTTTTTATCACTGGTGATTAGCACACTAGGATTTATACAAAAATGTGTCCTTCAAAGGGGTGAAGTGAAGGACTAGAAGGAAATACTGTATTGTAAAATGTTATTGAGTAGAAGGAATATGGGTATTTTTATTCTTCTTTCTGCTTTTCTGTATTTTTCAGATATTTTATAATGAGTGTACACTACTTTTACAATGTTAATAAAAGTTACCAAAATGTGAACTTGATGAGCTTACCCTGGAATCAAACAGCTCTCAGGGAAACCTCTGCAAAAAAGTGAGAAGCATTGGAAAGAATATGCAATAGTCATAAAATAGCCAACCTTTTTATTTAACCCTGATTCTTAAATTACTAATGTTTTTTTGTTTTTGTTTCTTTTTCTCATTTCATACCATTGTAGGCCTAAGGGTCCTTGTAGTGGGAGGAGCTTAGGGTCCTGAGTAACACAACCTGGATGTGATTGGCACCTGTGCTGATTATGGTTCAGGCACATTAACTTCTCTGAGCCTCAGTTTCTTCATGAGTAATTACACTCAGCCTCATAGTTCACTGTGGGGGTTAAATGGGATGATAAATGACTAACAGTTCCAGTTCTCATTAAATATTAACTGTGATTGTAGTGATCTTGTACATTTGTGACGAGTTGCAAAGTAGGCAGGGATTGGACTGTATAAAGTAGCAGCTTTATTGCTATCTGTAGGACAAGGCTGGCCACACAGGTAGAAATTTTAGTTTTTCTCATGCATTTATACTATGGCTGTTTTTAACATTTCTATTTTTCCATTTTATTCTTTCCTAAAATTCTTGTTCTTTCTCCTTATCATGCATGTTTCTCTTAATATAAAAAAATTAATACTTTTTCTTAAGGTATTTCTCTAGATACCCTTGCTTCTGTATTAGGAAAATAGAAATGTTGTCTTTTGAAGATTCTGTTATATTATATAGCATTTGTTAATTAGAATTAAAACTTTAAAGTTTCAAAAATGAAGTAAAATGTATTATTCTTAAAATAATTCTAAAGTTCCTTATATGATATTATTATTATTCCATCCTTTAGATAAGTGTATTTTTGAAGTCACAGATAATAACTTTTGGACATTTGTATGACTATTTTTCAGAAACTTATGGAACGAATTCAGAATCCCGAATATTCCACAACGATGGATGTTGCGCCTGTCATTTTAGCGGCTCATCGTAACAACTATGAGATTCTGACAATGCTTTTAAAGCAGGACGTGTCTTTGCCCAAGCCCCATGCAGTTGGCTGTGAATGCACGCTGTGTTCTGCAAAGAACAAAAAGGACAGCCTCAGACATTCCAGGTTAGAAAATTAGGATTTTGATAAATAGAAGAGTGATATGCCAAGGTACATGTCAATGATGCTTACTTTAAAAAAAAAAAAAAAAAGTTCTTTTGGTGCAACTTCTGAGAAGTGTGCTTGGGTGCTTTAGGAAAGCCAGATTTCTAGCTCCTTTGCTCATGAGGTGAATTCTGAAGTTTTCAGAAATGTTTACCAAATGCCAAATAGGAAAATCCTTCAAGTTATAAATGAAGTTTATTTCATACTCTTTCTGCTAAGGCTTTTTAGAGGCATGTTATTAGTTCAAGAGTAGTTCCAGGTAGCAGGAGTAGAAGGGCACCACTTGCTACCTTATAAAGAAAACAAAACTACTACTATACCATCATCATCTATTAAAGACTATTGAGGTCCAGCCCCTCTATACTCTTTTCCCAGAGTTCCAGAAGAGACGCCACCAGAGGTGAATTAATTAATCTGAGAGATTCTCGAATAATCTATGTACACAAAACTCTTTAGTCCATTCACTTTATTCTTCTGAGTCAGTTCTCTCTCTCTACACAGCTTCTATTCTGCTCTCACACTTAGCTCCCTTCTTGCCTGATTTCTCTCTACAATTCCTGCTGTTCTCTTTAAGTTCTATCTTAATTCCCCATCTAGTTCTTTCTCATCTCCTTCTTTCCCATCTAGTTCTTCCTCGTCTTCCATCTCATTCTTCTAGTTCCCCAATCTAGACCTCCTCAAGTCTCTGAGGTTTACAGTTATATACCCATGCAATAGCAATGCTCTGGCTAAGGCAAGGTCACCAGGCTTGAATTCCCTCAGGGTCAAAAGGAGGGCCAATAAGATCCACACTAAGAGCAGTAATTTTCAGCTATCATAGTGACCCAAAAGGGAAGTGGCTAATGGGGAGTGAATCAAGTAAAGGCTAAATTTGGTTAATAGATCTGAAAGGGGGAATATATGTGCTCAAACTAAATTCTTAGAAGTGGTTAGGTAAAATGTTAGGATTTTATAAGTCACTGAGTGAAATAAAACTGCCCTTTATTCCTTTGGAGCTGTATCTCTCTCAGCTTAGCTCAGTTGCCCATTTTCTGGCAGGGCGGAGGAAGTGTAGCTAGGTAACTAAGCAGGTACACCTGGTGTGTAAAAGCCCTTTAGTCCTGAGTAATTGTTAAAGGGAGATCTAAGCTACAGATAGCACTTGGAAGAAAGGAAGGTTAAGCTTAATTAGCACATCTGCCTGGCCTTCTCTAACAGATAGTCTGGATGCTATCTATCTGCAATCTGTTCTTAGAAAGTCTGGGAAGTATCTCAGATAAGATACTTTTGTCTAGAGGTGGACCTGGCTGGATGTTGCTAATGATGATAATTACAGAAAGGCTTGAAGTTATGAGGCTGGCTGTGTGACTGTTGTTAGCACAGTTGGGAAATGTTATCTAAATACTTTAATTGTATAGGAGAAATTGTGCCCAATGAATGATCAAACACACTGTCCTAGGAATTGAAAAGCTACAATAGCACACGAGAAAGTCATAGCAGGAAACAGCTAATATTCCAAAGCCAATATCACCAAGACTCCTTAAGCCTTGGCTTCATCCTCTGGAAGGGCCCTTGGCTTCTTCCAGGTATAGTTTTGTCATTGTCAGCTGAGTTCCTACTTCATATTTCTGTGACCTCCATCAATAATCACCACCACCATCATGATCATCATCATGTTAACTTTTTGAGACAGAGTCTTGCTGTATAAGCACTAGCTAGTGGAACTCACCTTTAAAGCTGACCTTCAAGTTATGATCCTCTTGCCTCTCTGCTTCTTGAGTAGTTGGATTGTAGGTGTGCACCACTATTCCTAGTAGAAGGCAACTTTAAAACATTTATTTAAATATTTTTAGTTTATATGTATGAGTGTTTTGCATGCATGTGTATCTGTATACCACATGTTTGCAGTGAAGACCAGATCTTCTGGAACTGGAGTTACAGACATTTGTATAGGGAGCAGAGGAAGCCCTGAGTGAGTGGAGTCCTGAGTGAATGTATATTGTTGACATGAGCCTAGCCATGTTGAAGACTTCAATAGCTCAGCCCCTCCAGGGTTGTAAAGCCTTACCCAGGTGAGACTCAAGGGGAGTGGCAAATATATCATCAGGTGCCCAGGTATGAGTGTTTATGAAGGATTTATAACATAGTTTATGAGCGTGCAAAGACTAGATATTTGTAGCCTGAGACAACTACCTACAGAGATCTACTGAGAACAGGTAAGCCCTCCCTCTGTGCTATATATATTAAATATGCTGAGAGGTTCCGGAGGTCGCAAAACCCTACCTGATCCCAGCTTTACTGTATATGTGTGTGTGAGTGTGTGTGTGTGTATCTGTGTGTGTGTCTGTGTGTAGTTTGTCCTTTCTTAATTCCCTTCCCACACTTAGTCGAGTTCCAGGACCTAAGCGTCACAGGTCGTGTTATACTTGTTTACCATCATGTGGATGCTAGGAACTGAACCCAGGTCTCTGCAGAGCAATGAGTACTCTTAACCACTGAACCATCTTTCCAACCCACAAAACTTAATTTCTCACTAAATATTTGAATTCTTCATGCCTCTTATTTTTCCTCTTAGAACATATTTATCTTTACTTCTTTACTATTTGTCATCTCTTCCCATCTCCCCATTTGAAATGTTAAGATCAAGAAAGTACTTGCCTTCTATAGTTTGAGCAAGATCACCCCTTAGGCAATTTTATTACAAGTATGGTTGTCAGCTGGTTGAGAAGTCAGCTTTTCAGAATAAGCCTTTTGTGTGCTTTACATATGGTTTTGATTCTCATTGTGGTAGTGTTGAGATATGGCCCATCTTAGACATGGTAGCACACATCTGTAACTTCATTACCTGTGGGACCCTGTTCTTGGGTTCCTCGTGGCTTTACCCAGCAGGTCTGAATAGAGGATGATCAGGACCACGGGCCTGAGTGCAGGTGTCTGAGATGGTCTGCACTTGGCTGTGCTGGGGGAGGAGGTCTTTTGCTCCACCCCTTGGCATCTCTATAAAAACCCTGGGCCAGAGACAGTCGGGGGCCGTTGGAATAGGTTCCAGGCCCTCTCGAGGCTATCCTTTATTTTCTGTTTATCTCCGCAACATTCTCCGCTATAAATCCTTCTATCTAATATTTCCTGCTGATCGCACTCAAGAAAACTCTGGGAAGCTGTGGGGGTGGTGGGTAAATGCCCCACAATTACCTAGAATGCTGAAGCAGGAGGATCATGAATTTGAAGCCAACAGAGGGTATTTAGAAAATTAAAATTACTTGGTCTCAAGTATTATTGTACATTGTATCCAAAGATGTTTGCATTGTATTGAAACAATGTTATTTCCAAAGAAGAAATAACAACCTCTTTGGTCATTGATTTCCTTGTCTGTAAAATAAAGCTGTTAAGTACTTTAGAACTATTTAGGTAATAAATACTAATTGAAAAAACTGTGATGTTCAGTTTTTACTGAATGTAGGGAACTTTCATACTTGCAAAGTAGAAAAGCATAAAAATAGTTGTAAGTTGAACTTTACAAGCTGAGGAGCATCACTGTAGTGTTTCCTGCTCTTGATGGTTTCAGGCATCAGTGTGGTTACTAGATTGCTTGTCTATTCATTCTCTTGACCTGTGAATTATTTGTAAATGTGTTCTGCTTTATATTGATTTGTACAAAGGATTCTCAGATTTCTCCCTACTGGTAACTTCTTCCTTAATTCTGAGGAATTAGAGAGTATAAGTCATTTCTAATAAAGTATAAAGTAACAACCTAAGTTTTACTCTTTTAAAATAAAAAAATTCTGATCTTAGGGTACATGGTGGTTTGAAATAAAATGACCCCCAAAGAGAGCGGCACCATGAGGAGGTGTGGCTTTGTTGGAGGAAGTATGTCACTGTGGAGGTGGGCTTTGAGGTCTCATATGCTCAAGATATCAACCAGTGTCTGAGACTACTTCCTCTTGCCTGCAAGTCAAGATTTAGGATTCTCAGCTACTTCTCCAGCACCATGTCTGCCTGCACACCACCATGTCCTGCCATGATGATAATGGACTAAACCTCTGAAAATATAAGCCACCCCATTAAATGCTTTCCTTGATAAGAGTTGCCATGGTCATGGTATCTCTTCACAGCAATAGAGACCCTAACTAAGACAGAAGTTGGTACCAGGGACTGGAGTATTGTGATAGGCCTGACCATGTGTTTTTTGTTTGTTTTTTTGAGGAATTGGTACTTTGGTACTTTGGGTTAGGAAAGCAGTGGAATGCTTTAAGCACTACTTAATGGGCCATACTAGTGGAAACATGGAAGACTGCCACGGACTGGCCCACCGGGAGTACCACGACCGTAGGAGAATCAGGGCTTGGGTAGTCAGGAAGGCAAGGATTCGGCGACTGACAGACAGATAAAAAACACACTCAAAAGTGGTTTGAATCTGCTGCAATTTTACTTCTGCAAATCAGTAGTTTATATACAGAAAAGAAAACTATCAAGTCATACAGGGAACAACAAGAGCTTGGCAATAATTCAATTACATCATCTTTAAAAAACATCAAGCACACAGTTATTAATCGGCACTAGACATATCCTTTCACTCACAAGAACTTTATGACCCAAAGAGCAGTCTGTGTTT